GGCTTAAAATGCATGGGTGAGGAGATGGCAGTGTTGAAGGTCGTGAATACTCTGAAACATGAATGATTGAGTAATAGATATACTGAAATGTTCATTTCAGTTGACCTTGCTAAGTGTCTTTTGCTGATGAAACTGGATACTATTATAAACCTGTTAATAATAGAGAAATTAATGTATATTCAGTTTAGATGTACTTTGAATAGTTCCTTAAAGGCATCTCATAAAAAGTCAGCCAATTCAATGAATTTATGCCATCAGACATGCAAATATGACATGCTGAAGACTGGCTGTTGTTTCTTTCATTATATTTATTTGCTTGGCACAAGAAAATCGAGGGCAACTAGCACTTGTTAAGACAACTCATATATCAGAATGAAATGCTGGTGTTAAGCGTGGGACATAAATCATTTTAATAATAGGGTACAGCAGCCCTCTCTGTAATTCACACACTTCTGTTAATGGGTTATTTCAAGCTCCTTTCTTCTCATAGTTACGATGGTGTCTTTTAGAGGAATTGCACATTGTGTCTGGGTCATCTGTGTGATTTTCAACCAGTTCAGCTCCTGTCTTTTACTGAGGGATGATAAAAGTATCAAAATGTGATGTATGCCAGTGCTTCCTTAATCTCCAGGGGTTTATTTTATTAAATTAGATGATTTCACATCAGAGTTCAGTAGAATTCAATCCCACGTTCACTTAAGTGGCTTGAATGTGGTTCTAGATCTACTTCCAAACATTGTTAAGATTTGGTTACTACACAATATAGTTTCCTTACCATAGTTCACCTGACCAGCCCAAGTCTAGACAACACTACCAGCCTTTGACTCATCTTCAGAGAGGCTCCTATTACAGATTGGTATGCATTTAATAGATGTTTGGCATAAATATGATACAGATGTGAAACACCTGATTTCATTGTGTTGTTGAGAACATTAAATGATGTAACTGGCTTCTCTGAGCCTTTTTATCTTCTTTACATTACTCTGTGAAGGATGGTAAGATCACTTAGTTTCCAAACTGAATGTGTTTGTATTCAGTTGGCTCTTAGAATCCCAGTGTTGTCAGGAAAGAAAAGTGTAGTCCTGTAAAACTGTTTTGGCATCCAGAAGGAAATGATACAGAACAAGTTGTTCACATACCATGTATCTCTCATTGAATGTAAAATGAGTGTTCAGTTCTATTCCTGCCTGGCTGCCCTTGCTGCCGGGAGTGAATGGATGTGCAAGAGGCAAGACCAGAAAATTAGGTCAAAGCTTTAACAAGTCTTTGTATTTGCTGTTGTTTCTTCATTTCCTTTACTCTGAAGCACTTTCTTCATACCTGTGCTTCTTCAGAGAAGCACATTCCTTTAGCATCTTTCTGACCTGCGGTCTTCGTACTGTTCTGATATAATTTTTTTATTTGTTTTCTTCATTGAATTTGGAAGACCTACAGAGTCTCTATCCACAAAGTCCTTCCAAATGCACCTGTTACCCATTGATGTTAAGTGCCTGAGTTTATAATACAGTCAAAGAAAAGAAGAGAGCAAAAAGGTCGTAAACCAGGGACATTAATGATTACTGAGAATTTGGACTTTATAGAGAATAAAGTAAGACTCACGTGTATCCCAGGAGAGGATAGCAATTGCACTTCTTATGTGCTGAGAACTTTGAAGAAGGACCCGCCCAAACAGACAGTGGAAAAGTGCTTTCATGCTCTCATCGTGAATCACCAAGAGGTATAAACAAGTTTAGATAATGCACAACTGACACATGTGTGCTGTGGGTGTTTTGGAAATTGTGGTTATTTTGGAAATCAGAAGGAAGTCGCAGAAGGAAAATTTCACAGTTTTTCCAGCTGTTCGACTCTGACCCATACCTCATAGCTGAAACTCAAGGCTACTAGACTGAACTCATCCATTGTTTTACAAAGCTGTGATATGCACACCAAGCAGTGTGGAATTTTCATAATAATGCAGTAATGAATAGCGCCTTTCAGTGCATGTATAGCTAGAAAGAGCACAGATTTCGCTCAAAGAGAGACACTTAGTCAAAACTCTCACTGAAAGAAACGAAGTTGATAGAAGTCTTGCAAGAAATTAAAATGGAAAGTATTCAGGAGGGGACAGATGAACTTTTGAGCAAGCAAATTAGCTATATATTTGGAAAATATCCATCACAACAGTAAGATAAATCTCAGTAGGTTTAGAAATCCAGTCGAACAAACTTGGAAAAGTTACTATGGATTTCTTAGATATGTTTGAGCTTTTTCTCTACTTTCAGTACTTGTTTTTCTTGTCTTCTTTCTCACTCCAAACAAACTAGATTTTTCCCACTGACTGTTTTTCAGTTTGCCAGGTTCATAATGCATCCAGTTTTGGATCGTCTCCCTTAAATCTACCTTTCCAACAGTTTCTGACATGAATTCCTCCAGCCGTCAGAGGTGTGGCTTATCTATGGCTCTTCAATCTCTTTGTATCTGTCTAAAAGTTTTTCTCTTCATTTTTTTCCTCATCCACGTGTTCAGGCTCAGTGATTTACTGTTTACTTCTTTCTAAAATGTTTCTTCAATTCTAATCTAGATATTTGGTAGTCTAACTTTTACTTCTAGAGTGCATTCAGAGCAGAGAAGTAGTTAGTTGTAACATCACCATGAAACACTTCCATGGAGACAAGGACGAGGAGGAGAAAAGCCTGATAAGACACTAATGGAATTATCTAAGACCTCAAAGGAAAACCAGGAAAGTAGACCCAGAAGATTTTCTGCAAAAGGCTCTACAGTGTGCTAATTTAACACAGTTTCTAAGTGTATGGTAAATTTGAAAAACAATTACCCCAGCAAACCAGTGCTAATAAAAATTGGTTGTTAAAATATTCAGATGTAGCAAAATTTTACTACTTTCTGTGTGCATAGATGTTACTTAAGAAACAAGTAAATGAATGAAACTGCTGCAATTCACTGGCATGACATTTACACCTCTGGTGGTGGTGGTGCATTCTAGTATCCTTAAATTTTCAGTCAGTAAGGAGATCACATTCTTAAGCTATGATAGATTGTACCACTTGTCTCTTTTTCTCTCTCAAGCAATTTTTTTCAATGTTTTAATAGAAATCAAATGTTGGATGTTCTGCTGTCCATTTAAGAACAGTCACGAATAATTGTAAAATAAAAGATTTTCTATTAATCACATACTGTTTCAAAGTTACGAATCCCTGCTTTAGAACAATGCTACTGTAAAATAGGTGTATATTAGAAACTTGTCTAGTGCATATGTACTAGAAATATTATTTGTGAACAACTTATTATATGTGAGAAATACATGTGAGCAACAAAGCTCTTTTGTCTACAGAACTTTCCACTCAAAATGTAAACAATAGTTGCATTTCAAAATGTTTAGTGAACTTTTTCAACTAAAAAACTTCACAAAAATAGAATATGGTATTTGGGTCACTGATTATGATTATATTTGCCTCCTAGAGCTTCCTTTTGCAGAATTTTGAGTATTTTTCTTTGAAGAACCCAAAAGGATAAACATGTAAAAAATTTTCCATAATGTTATTGTTTCTCTTTACAGTATAATATTTTGTTTCGATTCACAAGGCTGACACTACTGTTTTGGTTTTGTGATTTTATTTTAAATTCAGCTCAGTGATTTTTGTTGACCTGAGTCAAGGTCAGGTCAAGTAGTTTTAAAATCTACCAGTTATGCAAAAAAGAACTGTTTGTTTTGGAGGAAAGTTCTTAAACCAAGAAAGTATATAACCCTAAGGGTAACATGCTGTTGTGGTTAAGTGTCTTTCTTCCTATACAAATGTTAAGTTAATGTAATTTATCAGATTAGATCTTGATTTTACACTAATAACATGGTTCACAGAGGATGTATTGTACCTCTTTGAATTAATATAAATTCTATAAAGAGAAAGAAAATGATGTTTTGAATAGCTGCCAAGACACTGTTGTTAGAGCACATGTTTTCAGTTCAAAAACATGTATGGAATTCATGTCAGCATTAAGTTGAGTCTGCAAGACAGTGGATTCAAGGATTAAACTTCTCTACAGTCCCAGTGAAAACCCTGATAATGCCAGTGAACTTCTGAGAAGGCAATGAATTGTAGTTATTGGGGCACATAAATTCATCAGAGTATTGAATGTATTATGGTAGATGAGAAGAAAGTTAGTTTATAGAGGTTGAAGATATCAATTTTACATCTCTGTCATTAAGTTGCATTAAAAAAAATAAAGTGGCATTAAATTATAGAAGATTAGTAACTGAAGTGCAGTTTACACATGAATCATTGATTCACTATGTGACTCAGAGTTTGTAACGGGAAGGAGTATTTTTACCTTCAGTCACCCACTTAAATCCAGCCCCAGCCTAAAGTGACTCAGCCCTGACCGTCTGACAGCTGTTGGGTGTTCAGCTGTGCGGTGAATCAATGGGGAAAGTGCAGTGAGTAGACAGGTGTAGAAAACCCACCACTGTAGGCTTTTGCGGTCATGGCAGGGAAGTTACGGATTACGTGAGCGCGTCATTTGAACCAGCCATTTACTGACGAATTTCAGAGAAGAGCACGTCGTTTCTTTAGTCTCTGTTCACGAAAGGAGGAGCAATCTACCCATCAATAAAGAGTGTGCATGAAATTCGTAAATCAATGTCCAGTACTGTGGATGTACAATCCTATGAGAAGCGTTCAAAGTGCAGATGATGCTGTCTGCAGGGGGATTTTGGATTATGTTGGCAATTATCAATAATCACTTTTCTAGTGTGGATAAGAGCTGAATGCACTGAGTAGTTCAGATGTGGCAGTAGCCTTAGATCTGGTGTGGGTCTAATGTGCCACTCAGGAGCCCTGTTTTACTCTGCTTTATCCTGTTGTCCTCATCAGGTGGGATGTTGCATTCACTGAATTAATGTTGGTCCTACAGCTCTTCAGCAGACTTAGTACATTATTATTATTAGGCTGTTAGCGTGGTTTTCCTTGCTATAAGAGAGATTTACAGGTCTATTTTTTGTTTTACAGATAACCATTCAGAGGGACAGTGGTTTGGACGTCAGTTCCCCCAAGCATGGAAAAGTGGATCCAGACAACATGCCACATGTTGGTGGAAATACTTGGGCTGGTGGAACAGGTTTTTCATTCTTTTTTTTTTTAATGCATCGTTGAAGGATGTCTAAGGGAGATGCTGTGCCAGTCAAAAATGGATTTATACAAGGCCATCCTCTGCTTAGAGCTGTTTTACTCAGTACAGGGTCGCTTTATTGCTGGATGTCTACTTCAATTACATTTTGTTGTCATTTCTTTTCATTGGCCATATAGAGAACAAGAAGCTTGCAGCCAGAGAAACTAGGCTGAGTCATTTGCCATTCTCTTAGATGTCTCTGTAGCCGCAGCAATTTAGGTAGTGTAGGCAAGAGGAACACAGAATAGGCAAAATGCCTCCTAATTCTAAAAGGGCATGATAGTAATCAGTAGATAAAGTGGTTTTGGGAACAGTGTAAACCAAAAAATTCTAGGGAAAAGACGGAGTCTGAATGAATAGCTTTAAGGACCAGGCGCTTTGAGGAGATGTGCAAGACATATAATCTACAGTCCCCTTTGTACAAGGTGGAAACCATTATGAAACTGGTCTCAAGGGACTATAAACACAGGTATTCCACAGGAATTCCTTTTCACCATGATAGCTGTTTGGTTTTGAAAATCTTTGGCAATAAATATTTCTACTGGGAATTGTTGGCAAAATTTTTGGGACGTCTGTAGACATGACAGTGGAATCTTTAAAGGAAATGTGTTCTTATTTATTATGGAATGATTATTTTTAATTTTTTTTTTATCTCAATCGTGTTAGGTGGGAGAGACACTGCTGGGTTAGGTGGCAAAGGTGGGCCGTATCGACTGGATGCTGGACATAGGGTTTATCAAATATCTCAAGCTGAAAAAGATGCTGTTCCTGAAGAGGTTAAGAGAGCTGCTCGAGAGATGGGTGAAAAGGCCTTTAAACAGAGGTAATGTGAAAGTCTTTATTTTCCCTTCCCTTTCCCAGAATAATTCGAAAAAGATGGCTAAAAAGAATTTTCTTCCTTAACTGCATTTATCAACTACCTTACTCTGATCATTATCATTTACCAGAGCTTACCAGCATGTGTTTAACTGTTCTGGACAAGATGTATAGAACGTTTTATTGAATTAACTGTTAAAATGACTGTGTGATTTGGTAGGGTGATTAACTAGGTTAATAAGGAGAACGATGTGACTATTGATCTTTTTTAAAAAGGGATCTACCATATGAAAATTTCTTTGAATTATGATTAATCCAGATTGCATGTTGTTAGGAATTCATCAGCTAACAAGTGTCTTTTGAAATGGACCATTACAAGCAATTTGCTTCTGATTGAAAGGCCTATAGCCAAATGGTGAGATGATTTGAACTATTAGAGCTCAGCAGACACTTCTACACAAACCACAAATCTTCCCAACGTTAGTGTAGTACTTGGTGACTGATCAACTGTTTCCCAGACTGTGCACAGAGATTCAGATTTCTTCCACCAACTGAACTCTCAAGTCAACCTCTGGTACTTTGCATTAAAAAATCAAAGTGTATTGATAGTCACAACAAGTGAGTTTTTATGTTTCAGCCTGGGACATATTGCAACGTGAGTATCTGAAAGTAGAGAGTACTAGACAGAGGGTAAAACATCAGAGCAAATAAATTTAGAAGCATCTTAATCAGCTCACGTTTTGTTACTATTAACAGTGTGTTTCCCAATAGGGGGCAAATCTGGGTGCTGTGAGGAGCAGGTGAGATTGCCATTTGCTTCAACTGATGTGTAAATAATTAGGCTGTTAAGCATAGACCACACACTGTACATGAATCACTGTATTTAAAACCAGCAGTTTATCTATTGCCTTCTGGTCAAGTTTATTTTTTAATCATGTTTTAATTACTAAATTACCTGGAGCATTTAACATTGCTATTAGAGCATTAGTGATTAATAAAGACAGGTAAAATATATAGATTATGTAAGTGCTTGAAAAGACAAGACCCTAAAAGGCAAAATACCTTTTAATGGTGATTTAATTTACACAAGCAACATGCAGAATTTTAAATTAAAAATAGTCACTTAAGGTTTGTTTTCAGGGGGAAGGCAGAGCTTGTTTTGCCTTTTTTTCTGGTGCTTTATGGGGTGGGGGTAGGTGGGGAGCACTACTTTTAACCCTTTCTACATTGCCATTCCTCAAAATTGCTTATCAATTGCTTCATAATGCTTTGCTTCAGGATATGGCATGGTGGTGTTGGGTGGACGGTTGGACTTATCTTAAAGGTCTTTTCCAACCTTAATGATTATGTGATTCTGTGATAATAGAAACAATCAGTATATACGGTCTTGGATACTGTACATCTCTTTGTGCATATGCACATATACACACATGGCATGCTTTGACAATTTTCTACCTGCCTATATGGTGGTTTGCAAAGTTTGTGCCAGGGGAAATTCCTGGATACTGCTATGTGTTGTGGAAACAGTGCAGATGTGTCCTGTAAAATCTGAGTACCTGCACAGGAGATAACAATTCATGTCCTGCTAAAACCAGTGAGCTGGCATGTACCAGCTGTAAATGTAGCCTATTCTGAAGCCACATTTGATTTGGATTATTATTCTGTACCTCTTGCACAATGGTGGGAACTAAGAGATAAAAGTTAAGAATAGGGAGGTTGAAGTCATCAAGCTGAAGAAAAAAAAATGAGGAGGAACGCAGATTTCACTGCTTGCTTTATACATGGTTATCTAGACGTGAGAATTTTAATATGAAAGCTATTGATTGTTTTCCTGGCTAGATAGTACTGCTAGTGGAAAACATTTTAATTTGCCATATTTCAGTAGAATGAAGCTAGCAACTACTCTTGAATAGATGCAGTATTTTTCATGGGTTTTTTCTGAACTAGCTTTCACTGTGGATTGATGTGGAGTCTGATAAAGTAAAACTGCACCTGAGGCGGTTTTTTGTTTGAAACAAAATGTTTTTTTCATTGATATGAAGATACTGAACTCCATTGGCAGGATCCATGAAATAAAGTGTATAGCACTGAAAGTTACCTTTTCCTGCCTCTAATGAATAATAGTTGGCTATAATGACTATGGCTATGCATTCAAAATAGAAAAAGTCATAGTCGTAGAGAGACTACAAAGACAACAAATTTTTGATGTTTGATTTTAATATTGTCATTATTAGGCTGGTCTAGACAGCAATTTTGATCTGGGCCTCCCTTGTTTCATTCTCATATATAGTATATGTTCCAGGGTATTAACTTGTATTAAAAAACTTGTCACTAGAAATACTTTACTGTCCATTTCTAGTTCATTTAAAAATCAGTAATTTCAAAGCAGACTGAGTGAGATTTACGCTGTTATGAAGTGCTTGTGTTTGAAATAAGCTGTGCATGATAGGCCAATATGTTTTAGCTCAGGACTGAACCCAGCCACGTGCTGGGTGGTAGGGTGGGCAGATACACAATACTGCCTCGCTGCATGATGCTGGTCATGGAAAGCGTTGGATGGTGCTCACTCCCAGCATATCCACCTGTCCCCTCGTTCATTCTTCACCATTAGGCCTCTATAATTAAATTTCAGTGTGGCTTTCACTGGTTTAAGAGTTATCTGCTTAGCTACAATGTTGAGAAAAATGATACAGAACTTTAAGTGGGCACATCTTAACTTATAGAAAAAGCATATATCTGTTTTTACAGTGCAGATGTTGCGTTCTCAGACCTCTGAACAGAATAGCGTTCAGTGACATGACTAATTTCTTTGAGAGGGAGCACATTTTTGTTAATGTTCATTTAAAACTTCTTTGTTTCAAGGTTTCAGCATTTTATGAAGTACAAAGATAGGTATTTGAGACGGTTACTAGTTGTAGATCTTCAAGGACAGATTTTATAGTGTACCTTTACTTAACCTTTGTGTTAAAGCATGGATCATGGTATGTTTAAAATACTCCGACGATGAAGTAATGAATAGACACTCATGATCCTTTTATGTACAGATAGCAACACCTGAGCCAATAAAACCTTTAGAATTTGATCACAGTTTTCAGAACATCTGATTTGCTTCCTGAACATTAAAGCAGATTAGGAAAGAGGATTAGTAACTTTAATAAGTTTTAATGTAATGCAATCCTTTTAGACATTGGTGATCACCCATCTTTTCAAAAATTCACAAAAGCGGCTGCCACTACTGTGATTTGTCTCTTGTGTCTGGTTATTACAGTCTGAATTTGCCTGTTATCAAGTAAGCTTGTCATTTACATATGTAAATGGATGACATGCTTGTTTCCTAAACTATTCTTAGCTCCCTGTTCTTTGCTTTAGATTGAAAGAGATTCAGATGAGTGAATACGATGCATCAACTTACGAAAGGTTCTCTGGAGCAGTCCGACGTCAAGTTCAGTCACTCCGCATCATCTTAGACAATCTGCAGGTAACCTTAGATTCACTGATAAAGGAACACAGTGGGCTCATTACATTCGGCCACAAATACTATCCTGCTAATATTTTGTTAGCATCTGACAGTCATACCTTTGAGGGCTAAAAGCAGATTCAGATCATAACCATGGTTAGGAAAAACAGTCTCATATTCAAAGGCAGCTTTTAAGTGGATCCCAGTGCTCATCTCTTCAAGTTACAGTATTCCCATACGACATCTTACAGAGATTACTTACTTTGGAGTACAATCTTGTGAAAGAAAATACTGTGCGTTATTAAAAGAATATGTGGTGGTGTGTAGATCACAGCTTTTGTCTTCACGTCTTCTCCAAAAGACTTTTGTAGCTTGGAAGTGCAAATACAATAGATGTTAGAGGAAACACTCACTTCAGGTCATAGCTCTACTGCATATGCAGCTGAAAACATGAATTTTTCTCAGGTTTATTTTTAACTCTTGTTAATAAAAAAAGGTGTAGCCCAAATCTAAGTGGAAGCTGACCAAAAACACCAGTTTGCCTTTCTTCTAGTAATTGGTCCTGTGGTTGTTCCAGATTTTATTAATACTAGTGTTCATATATGGGGTAAATAAAATTAAAAGTGCATTGTTTCTAGGAGGAATCTGCTAATCTTCAGTGAAAATTAAAGGAAAACTAATTTTACTCCTTAAAAGACATCTCTGATTAAAAATAGTTCTGTTGAAGGCTACTAACCACTGGTATACATATACCTTAGTCCATTAGTTAGTCACTGTGCTGTGTCTAATGTGTCTCCTTACTTCAGCAATAAAACTGAAATATAGAAAGAAATTACTCTGTGTGATTGACAGACTCCTCCTGGGTCCAAAAATCCAATCCTCTGGTATTGCAAGTAAGAAAGGTAACATTTTTCTTTGCCTTACTGATATCTTCAAGCCATTGTAACTACAACAATGCTACTATAATCTCATAACGGAGAACCGTTAGCTGGTTTTATTATGAATGTATCAATTCAGAGAGCTCCTCGTAAAATGAACATTTAAGATGGTCACGATTAGGTGATTCATGCATCTAATATGTGTTTCAGTTCAGGACATAGGCTTTTGGCTTGTAAAGACTGATTTCAGTTGAAAAATTTTGGATATAAATCTCAGTTTTTATCTTTTATATCTCAGTGCTTTTTTTACCATGTTTCTAGTAGACGTGCCATTGGAAGCACATGCTAGGTGTGAAGTGAATAAGTGAATCTTCAATTTCAAGTTTTTTCTTAGTCTGCCTTATCTATACCTTGGAGCCAAAATTCTTACATTCAGGGGTCACATTAATCATTATCAAAATATAACATATTTTAATATAAGGAGACATATCCTGCTGCTTTGTTAAAAAGGTCATTTTAATATCAAGGCAAAGTCTTATAAGCCTCAATATTTTATGAGACTTTGCTAACTTCCTGGCAAAATCTAGCTAACCACAGAGATAGTAAATGTACTTTATGATAAAAAGCCAAACTCACTGAAATTTGGAAAACTAGCTTGTAGTAAGAGCAAATTTTTAACTTTATAAAATTTTATACAGGTTTTGGTAGTTTTTTTTTATTAGAAGATGCACTAGGAAAATTAAGATAAAAGACAGCAGGAGTTACTTAATTGGAAAATGCTTGCTGTTAATTGGGAAGCTGAGTCCAAGCGCGTTTCATGTTATCTTTTTGAGAAAAAAAAATAAAAAAAACTTACTTGAATTCTTCAGCATGGTAAGTCATTCAACCCTGATGAAGGACTATGCTTCTGTCTTACCTGTTTTCTGGATAGTGCTATGTACACCGTGGGTTCTTAGCTAAAACTGTTTTCTTTCTGTTATCAGTTAGACATTCCTCATTTCTCAAATAAGAAGTCAATGGCACAGTCAGTGGCAGTAAACTTTGCAGCTCAGATGTCTGTGTGTTTTTAACTTTAAGTCCCAAATTACCTTCTCAGTAGAAAACACTTTTGGCTTTTTAAAAATGTTTGAGTTTGCTTTGTTTCAAACTCAATGTGTTTGCATAACAGAAATATATTGTCCGTGTTTATTTAACCTGGATTTACTTTTCAGCATATGCCTTTTTATTGTTAGGTTTGTGGGTTTTTTAAAAATATGTTCCTTTGATTAGATTTTACATCCCAAGAATCAAGAGCCTGGGATTCAGGTCCAGTTGTCAATGGCTCACAAAAATTAGTAGCAGCAGAAAGAGGTGTTGGAACAGACTGATCCTTGAAAGTAATAAATACAGTCTGAGAATGTCATTTCATTGCTTGTTTTACTTTGCATAACTCACTGATCTCTGACAGCTCTTTGAACAACATGAACAAAACTTTATGAGTTGTCATTTATCTTCTGTAGAAGTAGCAAAGCCAAAAGTCCAAGAAATCTCAGACAATGGTGAGCTTTCTCCTCTCTCCTGATGCTGACCAAACCCTGAATAACGCCTGTCTGTCTGAACTTCAGATTCAAAAGCTTATGGTCAGTCAGTCACTCAGAAAGGCCTTCGTAGACTTTAGAGGACTTGCCTTCCAGAAAATACTTCTCTTTTTATTGATTATTACGGAGGGAATCTGGGGCAACTGTCCCTGTAGCTTCTGAGCATCATTTAGGCACCTACATTTAAACTAAGCAAACCTGAACCCGAGTCACCGAGCCTACTGGGGCTCTGTCTGATTTAGACCATGTGGGAACTGTCTGGTCATAGCAGCAAGAATAAAATAGTGGCAGTCCTATAATAAACATGGCTCAGAGAGCTGACGCTGCAGAAAACCCTGTGCCTCATCTATAGTAGTCTTCGGATTTCAGCAGCTAAGGGAACATATACATAATATTTTCCCAGACACAAATGCAGACCACAACTGGCAGTATTCCATACCATCCTGTACTGTTACAAGTTACATATTTAGATCTGAATACTTCACATACGCAACCTTTTCTGTGATATTTATAGACATCACAGTTATATTTTGCGGGGTTTTTTTTGTAAATATGCCTTTGATATCTTTCAGTGAAAAGAATTACTGCAGTGGTGTATTGTGATCAGCCTTTGCCATGCTGATAAGATATGGCATCTAGCACATTTTTCAAATTTCAAAAGCAACACAATGTATATATACACAATATTTTTTCATCAATATGGTCGCAGTATATTACAATAGTAATGAGTTGTATGCCCTTTCTAGTAAAATATCAAAGCAAGGTATATATGTAAGAGTTCTGTTTTTCTCTTAAAATTGTAAATGCTTGTAAACTGATGGTGCTTTTAAGCTCAGGAAAATTATATATTGAAAATGCTCTGAAGCTTTTCTGTAATATATATGTGCATTGTATACCACATGTGCTTAAAGGGATTTTTTCAGCTTTTATAAAAGGAAATAAATTCTTAGCAATTTTGCATGTAAGAGGCGGATGCTAAGTAGTGTCAATAATTTTAGCATTAATTTGGAAAGAGGTTGGGTCAGATTCTGTAAGCATTCTTTCCTATTTTAAGAGAGAATGTCAACTCTGTGTTCCTCTAATAAAATTTCAGCTCAAATACTGGCCTTTGTTGCATAAGTTTCTAAAGGTATTAAATGGTTTTTAACTATGGCCATAGTTAAAAGCAATTTTCTTTTCACACTGCTCTTCCTTGAACAACGAATAGCCACAAAGCTAAAGCATTGTCAATGAAAATAGTAGTGAAACTAGTTGAGAATTTGCCTAAGGAAACCAAAACTTTATAATCTTCTGTTGTTTGTCCCTCCTGCCTACTGAAAGGAAGCAAATAACAGAAATTCGACAAAACAGCAGCCTTAAGGAAGCATTAAGGATCTACCTTTTTTCCAGTACTTAGAGTGGCTAAGATAACTAGGAACAAAGTCATCTCATCTGCATCATCCTGGAAGGTGCATGACTCATTTTAGAGCGGCTCTGCTCACTCAGTAGCATGTTGTCTCCAGGAGCATTTTTTTTAATGGTTAGTTGGAGTGGTGTTGAAATTTGCCACGTGTTATCCTACTGTGTTTTTCACAGCAGAACTCCTATAGTGTGACACTTTGGGGAGCATGTAGAGGTTACCTGGAATTTGCAGGTATCTTCTTGCAGTGTTACACAACTCTTTGGGCAACAAAGGAATTGATGATCCTATGGAAGAAGGGACTTCAAATTTCATCCCAAGAATATTTAATGATAGTAGAAACTACTAGTTGGTGGCACAAACTCATGGATGCCCCACTGCCAAAGTGGATTAAAGCTAGGTTGACTGTAGCACCATGAAAATGTATCAGAGGGAACAACTGACTGAATTCACAACTTAGGAAATCATTTCCACTTTCCCTTTCTGTGATTTACTGAGGTTTTCATGTGTTGGCGTTGTTTTTGCCTCCCATCAGGAAGCATCTGTAAAGCTTTTGACACAACCTAACTAAAAAAACTGTGTGTGTCCAGCTACGTTAATTCTATACTGTAAAATTAATTAATCAAAACATTTTCCCTGTGGCTTTGTATTCTATCTGCCCACTTATTTTCTTAGGTAAGTGGTCCATTAGTCTGGTAACTATAGGCAATAGACAGTAGTTCAGAACTCCTTCTTCCATATACACCAAAAAGAAAAACTCATAAATTTTGACCAAAGCAAAATGAAGGATCCTCTGAGCCTTAAGAAGCCATCATCTGACTGCTCAGACTGGACAAAAATATAAAGATTCATTCTCTCAAATCCCAGGCCTGCAGTTTACTGGGGATTTGTAACGTAACACTTCCTGCTGATCAGAGCGCAATGGATTTTCATTCCTGAGAGCCAGTGTTTAAGGCAGTTTGCATCCTGCTGGATATTTGATTTGCCTCCAGCTGCTGACCAGCAATTTTCTGAGGGTGCAAATGCATTATACATAGATAAATTTAAAATCTTCTTTCCTTGCTGGGCTTACTATCAGGATGAGCAACTTCAACCTGAAGACTTAAGCAGAAATGAAATAAACCATGAAACCCATATATGCAGACCTTACTGTCTTTAGATGGATTTTAGGTGTTATGAACCATGATGAAGTTATCCTTTGAAAACGTTCTTGAATATGTTCTTTATAATATTAAAACACTTGAGTCTTCAATGTTAAGCACTTCAGTGTTAAGTGCTTGCCTCTATATACAGGAGTTCAATGAATATTTGAGTTCCTGGATTGTAATGAATGTTCATTAAGTCAGGCTGCTGTTCATTAAGTACTTTTCAAGACAATAAAAAACACATTCAGTGGACTGTCTCTTGGGTATCATAATTTTCAAGGGTTTTATTTTAAAATATAAATATAGCTTGTTACTGGTGTTACTTTAAAAGAAACCACTTACCATTACATACGGTAAATACTACTTAGTTTTACCTTTGAGTCACCCAGTGTTTTTTTCTTGCACTGCTTGGATGGAGAACACATAACAAATGGTCAGTTATGCATGTCTATCTGGTTGTATGTATTTCTACACAAGCAACACAGATTTTCAGCACGTTTGCAACAAAAAAAGGTTAGCATTTCTGCAGTCTGCAGTCAAACTGCCATATATGAAACGACTTAAAGATGACAAAATTACAGAGGGAACATGTTCTTTGTCAGTGTTGATTTTTCTTTCAGAGATAAAGAGCAGGACAGCTATGAAAATGTGTTCGGATTTCTTTGACTTATGCCAAAACTATCACATCATTACAAAGGAAATTAATTCATACGTCATGTTCAGTATGTCCTAAATTGCTTAAAATCATATCACTGAGTGAATTAAGGTTTCTTTTCTGTTGTAGGCCAAGGGTAAGGAAAGACAATGGCTGAGACACCAAGCTGTTGGAGAGCTAGATGATGCCAAAATCATTGATGGGCTGACGGGAGAAAAAGCCATATATAAACGACGGGGAGAACTTGAGCCACAAGTAAGTATCCAACAAGTAACATGGAAAGGTAGGGAAGCGCTTAACCAATTTGCTGTTTTCATAGTGGCGGTACAAATCTAAGTGGAGTTTCAGTGAGTTGTAGGGATGAGAAACTCAGAAGAATCTGGGGAAGATTGGGAAGAATATTGGGAAGTCCCTAGACAGAGGCAAGCACAAGATGAAGGATTTGTTTCACCTCCATACATATCAATTTGCTATTTGCCACTCTCAGAGAGAGGATGCTGATCCAGGCAGTCCTTTGGTTTTATGTTCTTATTTTATATTTTATATTTTATTGAGCTGAAGGCAATTAGCACAAACCATTTTTTTTATTTGTCTAAGAAAAAGGAAAATATTTTCTCACTAACTTAATTTCATTTAATTTTCAATAATAAATACCCTGATACCCTGGGAGGTTTTTTAAAAAAAAAGTCTTTTACAAATGTCTTCTCCTTATTCCATGATATGCGAAGAATTCCAACTTCCATAGATACTTGGATTTACAAGAATAAAAATTATAATGCAAAAAAAAAAAAGTGTGAGGAAAAGCCATTAAGATACCATAAAGTTGTCTGTCCTATGGCTCAATTCAGCCATTCCTTAGAAGACATTATGGTTACGCCTGTGTGAATCAGCAACAGAGAAACCACTTGAATCAGACCAACAAAACCTGGCCAGAATTGGTGGGGCTAGTCCATGGTATTTAACAGTAATACTTAATGACACATTGCAATTTTTAACTACACTAAGAATTTTTTTTAAATAGCTGAATATGACATCTTTTTGCACGTCAGCTACCCACATCTGATGAATCTCTGGTACTAGTTTTTTATGCTACTTGGTCCTGATGTCTGTTGCTTCGAACAGTTTATGGAACTTGGCACTGCCTGTGTGAAAGATCAATAACGGAAAACTGATTAGATCTTCATTTCTCATTTTTTTCAGAATGTATTTACTCAATGTATCAGTTTTAAGACTTTGTAAAAATGGTTCAATTAGGAAAAAAAAAGGACACCTTTATGTTTTGAATAAAAAACAAAGAAATGTAGGATTTATTGGGCCTCTCTCTTGCTTTGTTTTTGGGAGGACAAGGATGCCACAGCTTACTAAGAGAATAATTAAAAGAATAAAGCACACAAATGCATGCAACCCTTTACAGGTAAAAGAAATATTTTAGACATTTGTTTTTAATGTGACTGGGTTTTTGCTAGATCATCTTTAATAGCCTTATACTTGAATACAGACTCATCTCATTGCACACTAAATAAAACACCTCCCTTGAATGTACTGTGCCAAAAATTGTTGAAACAGATGGGGATTGTTTTCAGAAAAAAAAAAAATAATGGTTTCAGCATCAGAATGAAGAAAGTAGTAGTTAATCAGAACAAGATTTCAAACATTTTTGGACTGTGATTAACCTCAGCAGACAAGTTTTTACAGTCTTATATGGGTCCCTGCTAGTACTGTAAGCCAAGGAAAAGCATTTCCATTACAAGCCTTGGCAGAAAGAGCAAATTTGGGAGTCTCTTTACTGAAATAAAATGTTAAGAATCAAAACTGAGACAGAAAAAGTATTTTCCTGACAAGCATGCGTGGAATTTTTCAAGGTATTTTCTTTCCAGTCATTGAAGGAGAGCGGAAAGAATGAATTGAGGTATCTGTTAAGTAACTGGCTTGAAACAGTTAGAAAAAAGTTTAAAATGTTTTTGTTCTTTTTTTTTAAATAATCAGTGTTTGCTGGATAAAAGTTTCTTGCTTCGCAAAGAGTTTTCTCTCTCTGAAATGTTTTATCCTTGCCGATGTTTAGCTTTCCCATTTAGACTGGGTTTTTTTCTGCTGTGTTTCCCTGTCAGCCTGGGAGCCCCCAGCAGAAACCTAAACGCTTGCGCCTGGTGGTGGATGTTTCTGGTAGCATGTACCGCTTTAATGGGGTGGATGGACGACTGGAACGCTCCATGGAGGCTGTCTGCATGGTCATGGAAGCTTTTGAGAATTATGAGCACAAATTCAAGGTAATTGCAGCTGGGCTAGGAACTCTGTGGTTATTGCACAGGCTGTGTGGAGCAGTGGAAAAAGTGTTTCAGCAGTCAGTCTAGCCAAAGAACATTATTCATTCCCGCAAGGAAATAAAGACATTAATCTGTTTCTAGCAACCTGAAAAATAATACTAGTGAATGGATAAGAAACATTACAGGCTTCAGCAGGGGAAAATTCAATCTAAGACTTTTAAGTCTTTGATTTAGTGAAATATGTTGCCTTTTTCTGTATTTATCAGTTTATTTGCTGCTTTGAGCAGACATGCTTAAGTCTACAGAATACAAGTAAATATGAGCTTCAGGACATGCAAAGATGCCCAGCCTTTCCATCTGCCCAGAGTACAGACAGTAGTACTTTGTCATGGGAAAAGACCAAACTTCTTTGTCCCTTACTTGTGTTCTCTTCCAATTACCTGAAAGCAAAAAAATAATTTCTTACACTGAAAAATATTAGGTTCGAAGTGTTATTTAATGGTAGCCTGCAAAGGAAATGTAAATAAATTTTATATCCTTTTTTGTTTCAGTAAGCCTAAAGAAGGTCTAGGGTATGTTTCTTCAACCTTAAAAAAGACAGGAATAACGAGTCTCAAGTTAATTCTTGACAATGTTTAATGGAAGAAGAAAGATGTCCGATGCCTTTACTGAAGAGCATCTCAAAACTAAGACTTAAAATACGTCTGAACAAAATGTAAAATCTCCTAAACAAAATTAATAGAAAACTTAGTCCAGATGAATTCAGCCAGGTCTGCTTCACATTCTTCCTCCATCAGCATAATCCTACAGATTTCTGTTCTTCCATAGAATCTCCTATACAAAAACAGACCTTATGGAGGCATGTACTTGTAGAATGTCTTCTAAAGTGCCATCATTCAGACTTCCATTTCTCAAGGAAAAGGCTATAAAAGGAGACAGGCATTATGTTTTTAGCCTACTTTCCTAAGGAAATGAGGCGTGTGCTATCATACTTCTGGCAGTCATGCTTTCTCCCCTTTAAACATGCTTAAAGAGAGTATGTTGTCCAGTTTCAGATTTGAATCAGTGGTTTTGTTCCCAAAGGCACTAAATTCCTGCAAATGTCATGAAAATAGGCCAGATAGATAGAGAGTTTGTTTGTATTCCTGTTGGAGAAAAGTGCTGTAACTGTAAGCTTAGACCTTAGCCCAGAGAAGCTATGTGGGAACTCAACTGCAATTAAGCAAATCATGGGAAATGAGGGGTTTATTGGTTCAACTGCTCATGTGTCTTCTGCTCACTGATAATAGAAGAGCTGATGACAGATATTAACAGGCAGTGTAATTATACAACACAATTTGTGTAACTTGGTAAATCGGGCATATCTGAGCAACATGCATATTAGTATGGCCAAATGCAAGATCATCCACAAAGGAAGACAAAATAGAAGTAGTGGACACAAGGATAAATATGATTGTTTGGGTATGGTCAACATGGCTTTTGTAAAGAGAAGTAATGCATTTTGAAGCATGATAAGCAAGGTTGGTTGATAGAGTCTCCTTAGCCAAAAGCATTTGACAAAGTCCCTCACCAGAGGCTCATGAAGAAATGATACAACTTTGGGGATAAGAGGGAAAGCCTTCAGATGGATGAACTAATGCTCAAAATATAGAAAACAGACTAAATTGTCATTTTTTAGAGTGAGGAAATGAGGCAACGTCACTGGTGGAACTGCACTGGGATTTGTGCCAGAGCCCATGTTGTTATGTTGTTCTGTATATTCATAAGTGATCTGTAAAAGGGGATGGGTAGTGAGGTGACAAAAGTTGCTAGTTGTATCAAGTTATTTGGGAATACAGACGCTACAGGAAAAAAAACCACCACAGGCTTGGGGAGGAGTGGCTGGAGA